CCAGGTTTTCACTCCACCTCACTGCAGGTGAGGTTCTTGCTCTTCTCCCAGATCTCTCAATGTTGGAAAACTCTAGGGGTCAGCTCTTCTCTTCTTTCTTGTTCTCTGTCTTCACTCACTCAATGGTATCATCTAGTCTCACAGCTTTAAATATCAACTATATGCCAATGACTCTCAAACTGATATTTCTATCTCAGACTTCTCTCTTGAAGTCTAGACTCATAGATAAAGGCCTACTCAGCAACTCCATATGGATATCTAATAAGCAACTTAAATTCAGCATCTCCCAAACTGAACCCTTGATCCTAACGTCTAAATGTGCTCCATCCACAGCCTTCCCCATCTCAGCTAATGACAATTCTACCCTTCTAGCTGCTTAGGACAAAATCTTGGAGTTTCCCTTGACTCATTTCCTCTCACAAGCCACATCCAACCCATTAGGCTGATTTATAATATTTCCTAATTCAACCCCTTTTACCACCTCTCCTACCACATCTTGTTTTAATTATTGCAATCATCTCTCCTAAATAATCTCTCTGCTTCCATCTTTTCCTTTCAGTTTACTCTTTACATGGCATCCAGAATGATCACTTTTAAATACGAATCAAATCAGGCTATTCTTCTACTCAAAACCCTATAAAGACTCCTCATTTCACTCAGAGTAAAAGTCAAGTCCTTACAATGGCCAAAAAGGCCCTCGTTAACTCTTTGATGTCCTCTCCTACAATTCTCCCCCTGCTCATTCCACTCTGGCCACGCTGGCTTCTTTGCTATTCCCTGAATTCACAGGCACACTCCTGCCTTAGGGCCTTAACACTAAACACTCCTGGCTCTTTTCCAGACGTCTGCTGGCAGACATCTAAGACTTAGCTCAAATCTCACTTTCTCAATAAGGCCTATATAACTCTCCCCATCTCTACTCCTGATGTCTCTTTCTGACTTCTTGCTCAAGTGAGAGTCCAATGTAAACTGACAGGGGGGCTCTGATTCATCTACTCAGGTACCCAGCCTACTTTCATCTAAGGGCATCTGCCTTTGCTAGTTTCTTTGGAGACATTTCTATTTAGCCAGTGTGTATTGGGAGTGGGAAGGGTAAAGACAGAATGGAGAAGGCACACCTGCTTTAAACTGCCTTGACCCAGAAGTAACACAGATCACTTTCAAACAAATTCCATTGGTGAGAACTAGTCATATGGCCCTATCTGGCTGCAAGGAAGATGGGCTATATAATCAAGTTATACATCCAGGAAGAAAAGGAAAACTTGAATATTGGTGTGCACTTCTAACCACTAAATATCTTTTTGCTCCCTTTTCCTACACATAAAACACACTCAAACCGCTCCCACTCCCCAAAAGAAAACCTCCAGTCCCATTCAGTCAATGCATCTAACTACACGTCCAAGATCACAGAGCATGGCACAATCTTCTTCCTCAAGACCATGTGTAGCTCCTTATGATGCAACTATGAACTAAAAAGGCAAATAATCTGCATCCTCCCTCCCCAGTCCCAATATACAATGGTGGAACAGGAGCAGGAGGTTCTTCCTTATTCAAAACTCTCCTTGGCCAAGTGTGCTCTGGCATGCCCTCCTTGGGGGCCGCACAACCTTCACAACCCACTTCCTGCCAGAGCAAGTTCTGAGTCTTTAAAAAGTGGTTTTACAGCTCAAATAGTCAAGGGCTTATTCACTCCAGGCTCATGGTTTCTTTGCCAATATAATTCCCCCCCAAACTTAGTAGGCCTTTGTTCTATTTGTTTCCAGTCAGTTCCATGAGCCAGTAACCACACATAAAGTTCTTTCCTAGACATAATTCTAAGCCTGATTTACGTCTTTGCCTCCATGCCTCTTGCTTTCAACTAACAGGAGCACCTGGAGGCCATATGAAACAATAGGTCAGTGGTTTCCAACTTTGGCTGCACAACAGAATCACTTGGGGGAACTTTCAAAAACTGTTTGTGTCCAGGTTTCATGTACCCTGGATCCATTAAATCAGAAGCTATGTAGGTGGGACCAAGGTGATTCTGATGAGCAGCCAAGAACAAGAACCTATACCCTTAATCTGATCTCTGCCACAGGACTGAGTCACTTTCTTTCAACTGAGAAAGTTTACTAGGCCTTTGTTGCTCAAAGCCTTTCTCAACTCTTACCTCTTGCTCTCTGGGGTCTGGAAGCAGCCTGTTTTTCCTTTCGCTGTCCCAACTGTCAGAACTTTCTGTATTCCCTTTCATTTTTTGCTTGAAAACTAGCCAATTCTTTCCTAAGCTCATCTCTTTCTTGTAATATCTTACCGATAACAGTCAACACACACTCACACTCTGATCCTTTCCAACATGTGACCTACAACTCAGCTGGCGGGAGGTGTGCCTTCCAAGTTATCACAGACAACAAATTTACCAAATTAGTCACCACTGCAGTCTCCTTCATACTCCTTAAATTTAAGCTCCACCAAGGCAGGAATCTTTGTCTGGTTTGTTCACAGATGGATCCCACATCCTGCTACAATGCCAGGCACACAGTAAGTGCTCAAAAGATCTTTTGAATGAATAAGGAATGGACAGAAAGAATCACAGATATGGTACCATATGGCATTTTTTCTATAATAAAGGCAAATAGATTGATGACTAAAACAATAATGAATTATACTGCATAATAACTTAGATGAAACATTAAACAGAAACTTCCGGAAAAATCAAAATAAACTTCCAAGCACCAACACCACACATATCAAATCCACAATGCAAATTCATATACGAGCTGGTTAAATGCACACTAAATTCATCTGTTGTGAACACACAGAAACAGTCACTCAAAATATTAGTATAAACACAGTGGACAATCTTCAAAGAAATTACTGTTGAACTGATTACACATCTTGATGTAAAGTGGAAACTTCTTCACCCATATCAGCCTCAAAATTCACCCACATCTTCCTCAGAGAGCAAGGGCATCACACATATAGAGTCCTAATTTTTTTTTTTTGGTGAGGAAGACTGTCACTGAGCTAACATCTGTGCCACTCTTCCTCTATTTTGTATGTAGGATGCCACCACAGCATGGCTTGATGAGCGTGTGTACGTCTGCGCTCAGAATCCGAACCCATGAACCTCAGACCACCAAAGCGGAGAGCATGAACTCAACCACTATGCCACCAGGCCAGCCCCGAGAGTCCTAATTTTGAAAACAAGTTACATATACACACACACATATACTGCTAAAAAACTTTACCAGTATGCATCGACCGTATACAATGCATTCACCCATCAAAATCCAAACTGATACATTTATGATACCAGCTTCAAAATTACGCATGCTGAAAATACTTGATTTTTCTTGAACTCTTGAGTCACCATAACAAAAATAAAGGAATTAATAAAATAGAAAAAAATAACAAAGCTGAAATAAAAACAAGTGGGGATAAAACTTACTTCACAAGAGTGTTGTGAGAATCAAACAGAAATATAAGAATTCACTTGTGATTTGTGTACTTTATGTATATTATAGCTCAATGAAAAAATTCAACAGAGTATATGAAAAACTGCTTTGTAAATCATAAAGCAATATTCAGTCACTTACCTTTAAATAAGTGTAAAATTCCCATTTCTAAAAGGGTGATAAATTAGCTAAATGAGCAAGTTCAAACTAAGGTGAACAAGAAGTTCCTCATTCTCCTACCCCAACATCTAGAATGAGAATTCTCAGTAGAAACACACCAGCGAATCCACTCATTACGAAAGGCAACAGAGCAAAGAACTATCTCAGTGTAGAGAATTAGACTCTAAGCAAAAACCAAAAAACAGTGGAAAAAAAATTAACATCAATAAATACAGTGGGATACCTGTACTTTAAGAAAGGGAAAAGTAACAACTTGAAACCACTAGGTTTTATTTTTTTTCCTTTGTTTAAAAATTTTTAAATAATGACTCCTCAACCAAAAAAATATTGGAATTTAAACACAATAAGACCCAGGATAGGATGTTCAGTTTAACAAAATGTTATGGTTAACGGTTACTGAAAACCTAGCTAATAAAAAAAAATTATCTCTAACACGTTGTCAGAGATGTAGGAAGTGAAGTGTACACTGGGGTTGAAGTTTGTTCTTTTTTTTTAACCACTCGCTAATATGAACTTATTTGGCTTTTTCTTGGTCGAGAAGGCTAAAGGAGAAAAAAAAAAACTGGTTATTAAAGTTTTCTAATAGTTGAAGACCAGTAGAAGAACCAGGCTTAAGAACCTACATCCTGAATCATACTTCTGACTCTCTATATATTTCTACTCTTTACCAAACCAACCAAGAAACAAATGAAAACTAGAGGAAAAGCTTTTAAAACAAAGGCTATGGCAACTTTTTGGAAATAAAAGTATGGTATTTTAAAAACTCTGGAAGTAAACGGAGAGAAGGAAACAAAAGTGATGCTAAGCATGTTACATGATTTATAAACATCACAGAAAAATCAGACATCAACTTCCATCCAAATACTGTTATTTAAAAGACTACTTTTGAAGGTAAGGACACCAAAGTGACAATTCCCCCAACTTTAGTGACAAAAATTTAACTCCTTGATTTCATGCAGCTTTCTTTGTACTCTACAACTTTAAACTCTATAAACATAGAGAAAATTTGCTTGAAAAAAGAACTGGAAATCCTACTTAAAGCTCAGAGAATAAGCATTTGGGGGAACACCCCTTGTGCAATTTTAAAATAAAAAGAAACTTAGTTTTCACTTTGGAAAGTGACCATTGTAACATTTCATTGTACTGAATAAAGGGACCATTTCAAATGTAATAATATCTCCATCTCCTGGAACTTTAAAAATTCTGCTTTTAAAATCAAGTGATAAAGCACAACATATTTGCAACCCCCGTCATGAAAGTCAGTATTAAGATTTTATGACTCCACATCCTTATTTGACAGGCATCTATCAGGAAACTGGCCCACGTGCCTTTAGTGACGAAACAGACTAACAGTTGGGGACACAGACGGAAACACAAAGCAGTTACCCAAGAAGAATGCTCCTTCATCTGGTGTTGGTTGCTGTGAGGGCCACTGGCATGGCCACGCCAAAAGCAATTTTGGCAGAGCTGGTAGTTGTGGCACTGCTGGCATCGGTACCGGAAACCCATCATACTCTCACACCGGCAATAGGAGCACTCCACGGGATGGAAGACTTGTGCGGGGAAACAAGTGGGACAGGGAGAATGGCAGGGGAGAAGGGGTGGGGTAAGAGGGAGAAAGAATCATTCATTTGGAGAATAAAGTCAACAGTGGAAAACCAAATCTAATATAAAAGCTAAGGTGAACACAAAATTAGAACTGAAGTCTAAATTGTCTCCTATTTAATTAATCTAACCAGATATTTACTAGAATAAAAGGAAAAGACTTACTAAGAAAAAAAATTTTCAACTTAGAATGCTACATTCCCATGCACCTTAGAAAACAATTTATTTCTTTAAAATGAAACTCATGTCTCAAAATTTAGATGAACATACCAGTAAGGAAGAGAGAGAAGCCTTCACTCCAAAATTTCTTTTCCAAATCTACTGTTTTTTTAAGAGATGTATTATTATTGGTTGTGTACATATTTGCTTCCTTCACTAACATGAAATCCGTGAGAGCCAGGACGCTGTGCTGTGCCTCTGTTACCTGCAAACGGTACTTTACACAGTACCTTGGACTGAAGGCCTTCAAATGTTTGCTGAATTAAATACTACCACATACCTGGGCACAAATGGTAACAGCAAAAAGTAAGGCTAGATACACTAAAATATTAGTTGTAGGTAAGGCTCTAAGTAACAGCATAAAATAAAGTACTCTAGAACAACAAAGGGACAATGATTTGGAAGAAGGGAAACTCAGTGACCAGCCCTCTTTTCTCCTCCTCACAGCATATGACCTCATGAAACACTGCCAGGTGGCAGCCAGGACTCATAGAGATTACAGGGATTCTCTAATAGCCCGAAAGTCCAGTTCACTGAGTGGGAAGCGGGTAATGCACAAGTGTATAGTATAGACTGCTATTTATACTTTTATATGTTGGTAGCATAACTGTTCCCTCTGGCGATTCAATTCTGAACACAAGAAATGGAAGTCAATAGGAAAAAGGGACATAGTATTCAAATCTTCATTTGAACATCTCTTTCTAGCACTATATATACAAATCCAATGTCATCTCAATTACAAGGATTTTTAGTTCTACTTCCAAAAATGTATATTTAAACTAGAGGTAATATTAACTAATATTAACTATATTAACAAGACTGAAAAAAAAATTGAGCCCTAGGTGAGGAAAACAATCTAACAAGATCACTAAAGACTAAAACAAAAGTAAAATCAGGAATGAGAACTCCAAAGGACATACTTCCTCTAAGAAATTCAAACCTTTTGTCATCAAGGTATTTCTAAGGAATGATCGAAGTGCTATTTAATTTGGAGTCTGTGCTCCAAATTAAAACTATACAATCTAGTAGAGTTCCACCAGAGAACATACTCCCAAATCAATCTGGAGCTAGCATCAATGAAGTCAACAGCAGTGCAGGCAACATTTATAATTCTATATAATAATTTTGGGTTAATATTAAGTGATATATGTACATTAATATTAAATTAGCAAATACATTCTGATAATTTTGGTTGAACACATATGTCTATGTGATTTTTCCTCTATGCTCTTCTAAACCAGTGAAGAGCCAGTGCTTATACTAGTCAGTGGAATGGGTGACCAGGTGGAAAAGCAGAGAACCAGAATGAGGGAAATATCAACAAGTGTGCTGGGTCAATTACAAATAAGATCAGGTTTTGGTAAAAGCATTCTTTTTTGGAAGAGTGTATCATGTGGTAGTTATCTTCTTATATACTATACACTTGAATTAGTAAACCAATATAAAAAGTGCAACTTTTGCTTAAACAAATAAATATTTGTCCTTATGAAGAGTAACTTCAATACAATCCAAGTGATGAATTTCATAGGAAGTAAAGGGTCCAAACAACTAAAAAAAACTAGAAATACCATAATTTTAGAATTTGCTTCCCACCATAAAAATTAAAATATATAAAAATTAGTGTGATGGGTAACATGCTTTATTTCTAGGTATTTCAGTGATTTCATAATATTCCTCTGAGTCTGAGAAAAATGATATCACTAACCACACAAGAAGGTAATCAATAAATAATACACTACATACAAAGTCACAATCAAATGTTCATACAGATAACAACACATCTTGACAAATGAGATTCTCTCTACTGGTATAGCAGACACAAAATGATTTTTTGAAAACGAATTGGACATGAAACTACTAAAACATTTAAGGCTATAAAAGTATTGCCCCCAAAAGAACCAATAATATTCTAATAATTTAATAGCATAAATCTCTATCCAAAAATCCTGTTAAAAAATTTAGCTATTTTAGGGGCCAGCCCGGTGGCGCAAGCAGTTAAGTGCGCACGCCCCGCTGCAGCGGCCCGGGGTTCGCCGGTTCAGATCCCAGGCGCGCACCAACGCACCACTTGGCAAGCCATGCTGTGGAGGAGTCCCATATAAAGTAGAGGAAGATGGGCATGGATGTTAGCCCAGGGCCAGTCTTCCTCAGCAAAAAAAAGAGGAGGATTGGCAGATGTTAGCTCAGGGCCGATCTTCCTCACACACACACACAAAAATAGCTATTTTAGTCTAGTCAAGAGATTTTGGACCTTCAAGAAAATAATCCTGACTCTAAGGTACTTGTGAACTAAAGCCATAATTGGGCAAAATGCCAAGAAATTTAAACCAAAAAAAAAGGCATGAATAGGAGGGGGGAGAAAATAGGAGTATGTTAGTGTATTTCATTCTTACAAAGGGAAAAAAGAGGGCTCTGCCTTCTAGTGCCTTCTCAGCTATCAGTGGTTCTCTTCTGTGGAATCAGGAGAGACAGGCAAAGCCTTGAGAGAAGGGAGGTTACATAGAAAAACTACAGCGTTTCCTTTAATAAACTCAAACAACGTAAACAAGGAGATAAACTGATAAATATCACTTCAATTCCAAGTGAAACAAAGATTTAAGTCAGATTAGTGGGAAGGATACTGAAAGTAAATTCAAGGTAAAATAGTAAAAGAAAAAACTGAAGATGTGTGCAACCCGGTACTAAATTCTACCTTAGCTATTTTCCAAAATAATTACAGTTTCAGTGGTTCACACTGAATATATCTAAGTTTTTAGATCTGTAATTTTTATAAATTAAAGGAAAAAAAAAAGGAAGTCATGGTTGAGTCAGGTGGCTCAAGCAGAATACCACCATCTGGAATCTCAGGGGGGAAAACGCCTTGAGTTTGAACCACCAAGTTTTATGACCTGATACGAGTACCTCTTGGTATCCTAGTTAGTAATAAGTCTTCTTTCTTTTTTCTTTCGAGAAACAAATATTCCTCTTTTGAAAGCTAAAACCACAAATTCAAATGATGGAGTGCCAGCAAATGTCCACTGTAATTTTCACTGATAACACCTAAGGACATTACCAATAGTATCAGTACATATACCTCCTAAAGCATAAGGAATTGAATGATAAAAGTTCTGCTTACCATTCTCAACATGGGCAAGCCTATGCATGAGAGGTAGCCAGACAAGGCACTGGGGAGGAGGATCAGCCATCATTGTGTCTAAAAACATATTTAGCATTATCCTTTTCTGTGAAGAGAAGAAAAACAAATATACTTTATAGTTTTCAAGTATCCCTGAACTCTAAGATTAAGTTAATTTAGGATTCTCCTTACCAAGCTTTAATGAATTACGTGTGAAAATTTTATACCAAAATAAAATTTTTACCTTACAGTAATATTTGACATTACTACAGACACTGTGACACACTATACTACACACTGCTACTCTATTCAAATTCATTTCCACATACATTATTTGAGTCTTAAAACAACTGCATAAAGTAAACAGGTTAGGTATTACTATCTTCATTTTACTGATAATGGAGAAAAATAAAGGAAAAAAGCAATTAAATGACTTGTAATGGTCCTACCCAATTTAGATACAGAGGCAGGATGAGAACTCAAGTGTCCTTCAACTACTATTCCTGTTCTCCAGTGGGGGAGACAGACACCCCACCCCTGATGATAAGACAACATTACGAGAGCAGGCACTCTGGTCACCTGGTTGTCCACCACATTTCCGGCATCCATAACAGTGCTGGGCACACAGTCGGCACTTGGTAATTGTTGAATAAATACTGAAGGGAGGGGCAAACACCCTCAGATATCATCCACAACTTTCTCCTTTACAGAAGAGAAAACTGAAGCTCAGATAGTGAAGTTATTTGACAGAGTCAGAGATAGTTCTAATAAGAGAGATTAGAACCCAAATATCCAAATGCCCATCAGTCCTCCCTCCATTATAGCATCTCCCTAGCTAGACCACATTTTTCTGTTCTACCTTTATTTCTCTCTTTTAAAGAAATATATAGGAAGCTTCCACCGTATGTGAAACACTGATATAATTAAGTCCCACATGGACACAGAAAATTAGAAGACAGTCTAGAAAAAACAGAAAGAGTCATACAATGTAGATAGAACAGATTCTCAACAATATGTCAAAGTAATGAATTTTCTTTTTATTTCCTCTAACCTGCAAACACCTTTCCAGCTCCAAAAGGAAAGGAAAAAGGAGGAGAAGGTAGTGCCATACAACTGGATGTGGGACTTCTGTAACTGTAACCTGGACGCCTAGGCCCCCACTTCAAACTGTATTCCAAAAGAAGAGCAGAGATAAAAGGGCAAAGCACAGGAGAAGAGAAGATGCACAGCCCAGTAAGCAGCCTGGTTCTGCCACTCAAAGGCAAGGTGGGGGATGCAGTGGGCGGGACGAGACACGGGACTAGGGTACAGGACGACTGGGGATTAGGGGTAGAGTGAAGACAAAAGGCACCCAGAATTTCACCTCACTCTCTCTCAAGTAACTAAGTTCTCAGTCTCACCACTTTTGCTGAAGTGGAAAAAAGGGTATAAAAAATGTGGTGCTTCCCCACAAAACATTAAAATACTTTATTTCAGGAAAAAAAAGAGGTAAAAAAGATAAAATTGGTTAGAGCTAACCTAAAGATTTTGCCAGCTGATTACAAAATAACTTTGATTTTTACCATGAATATACTCAACACAAATTGGAAGCAAGGAGTTGAAGGCCGTGTGGTGTTTCTTCAGGAGGACAGCGGCCTCCAGGATTTTCATCCCATCCACCAGGATACCTCCCCACCGATGGTTCCCATGACGCAAACAGGAGACTACACAGACTTACTTCTGGGTATCTTTTTGGCAACTATGAAAATCTTGATTCCATTATATGTAAATTGGAAGTCATTCTTATTGAGAATAATCTTTAAAAGAAGAAACTGGTAAGTAGGGAATAGAAACAGGAGGGAAAGTAGATGGCAGGGCAATAAAGAGACTTTTGCAATAAAAATCTGAAAAAGAAGAAGAAATCTGAAGGAAAGACTCAGATCGAGGACAGAGACTGCAGGCCAGCACTGAATGGGGGGAGGGAAAGGTTCTGAGATGTACGCAAAAGAGTGATAACAGTGTGAAGTGACCATCCAAAGGCCCTCTATATATGGCTGTGCATCGATGGTGAGGCTTCAGAAATGCCTACTCAAATAGGCTAAATAAAGTTTTCCCAAGTGCTTTCCATCTCAGGCATCCAAGTCACTAATGTTTCTGAGACCTCAGTGGAATCTGGGAGGAATGAGTGAACAACACTAAAAACAAAACCAGAACGTCCTTGAACATCGGAATGGAGGTCCAGACATGGAAAATGCCTCTTATTATGAATATGCAAATAACTGCAACAAAGCAAAATGAAATTAAAAGTGTCTGTTTAAAATTACTGAGAAAGAAGATGCTAGGAAGTTTTTCTAGCTAGTAAGAGGTGGTAAACAAATATTAAATGTATCATATCGTTTATTATAAATTTAATGTTTAAACTAGTATTTCTATATCTTCTTCTGTTTGTTAAAAATTACAATTTTACAAATCCACTTATAATCCTAATGCTACTTTCTCTAAAAAGTTTTGATTCACTTATCATAGAGTTGTTTTTTTAATCTTCTTAGATGAAAAGGAACAATGATATTTGATATCTCAGAAGATCCTCATATATACACTCAGGATCAGTTTCCAAGATTGTCCTAAGGTCATACTATAATTTGAAGTTCTCCAAAAGCATGAGGAATGAAACCAGAACTGTGCCTCAGTGCTCAGTCTTCCATTAACCATGTGATTTGGGGAAAATCACTTAACATTCTGGTTTCAGTTTTCTGATCTGGGCTAGTGCAGTGTTTCTTGAAGTGCGGTCAGAGGCCTCCCTGGAAGGTCCCTAAAACATTTTCAGGGAGTCCATGAGGCCAAAACTATTTTTATAGTAATACTAAGACACTATTTGCCTTTTTCAGTCTCATTCTCTCATGAGTGTACAGTGGGGTTTTCCAGAGGCAATGTGGCCTATCCACAATTACCTGAAAAAGCTATTAAAATACTCCTCCCTTTCCAACTATACAGCTGTGTGAAGCCAGATTTTCTTTCTATACTTTAATCAAAACAATATATCACAACAGACTGAATGGATAAGCAGATATGAGAACCCAGCTGTCTTCAATTGAGCCAAATATTAAAGAGATTTACAAAAATATGAAACATTGGCACTCTTCTCATTAAACTTTTTTGTTTTGGAACATACGGTTATTTTCCATAAAAACATTTATGTTAACATGTAATAGGCTTATCATTGCTATTCTTAAATAACAACATTTTTTAATTTCTCAATTTTAATTTTTAATATGGAAATATTGATAGATAAAACCCACATATACAAACCCAACATAAATTCTTTGGGGTCCTCAATAATTTTTATTGTGAAGAGGTCCTGACATCAAAAAGTTTGAGAACTGTTGGGATAGAATTCCCAGCTCAAAAATTCCGTGACTTCGTAAGTAACTCTGTGAAAGATAGGTTGGCTCTTTTTTCTCCCTTTTTGTTTTGTTTTTGCCCTTGAGTTGAACACATTCTTTGCATTTCTCCTTGTTTTTTATAGCACAATAATATTTATAACAAAAACTATAATAAAATTGCAAATAATGTACATCCCCACCATTCTCATTTTTTCTTTATTTCCCTCCAAATGTATATATGTGTCTATGTAATTATGTACATATTTTTATCTAAAAATAATCTGGGTTTTCACTTAACATTTTATTAAAGATTTCATTGTTTTGCTACAAGGTCTTCATTTCTAATCATTTTAACAGCTGCCTGATCCACTGAGCAAAACACCATGATTTACTCATGCCTTCCTCCATAAAACACTGAGGCTGTTTCTATCTTTATGTGCACACTCATATTTTTTCTTAGAAACGAGTGTTTCTGTTTGCCACCTACCTCCCCACCCTTGTTATTCTAATCCTCAATACTGACATTTATCACCCTAGATGCCATTCTCACCTCCCTCCACCCATGACTACATCTTCTCTGTTTTAAAAGGGGGGAGAAACCATCTCTTAAAAATGAGAAAACAAGTAAAATAATTTAGCATTCGATCATCATAGCTGCAATTTCTAACCTCATCATTTCCATTAAAACCTCCTATTTCCTTATGGGCAACAGGTAAATATTACTCATCCACCACCTTATCCCTTACTCGGTTATCAGTTAAACAGGGTATGACATTTAATTAACAGACTTGAAAACATTTTTACAACCTTCCAGATTAAAATGTTTTTATACAAACTTTTTTGTAGAGTTATAGAAATATTTTGTCTGACAAGGGCAAACATACATTAACAGGTTATAGGACCAGTGCTTTAACGTCACTTATAAGGTGCTTATAAATGCTTATAAGGCTATAAGTGTGAAAGGTCAGCCTGTCAATTATTATTAGACATTGAATTTGTCCATATCGCAGATTTCAGACTTTGAAAATTAGAGCTCTTTGTAATGACACAACAATATAACATTGCTGTGCTTTTTATCAGATATTTGTATTTATTATGGCTAAAAGAAAGATTGGAAAAACTTCAAAAATTCTGAAATACTATATTTTCCTCATTGCAAAGATTGTTTCATTAGAGAAAATCATGGAATAATAATATCCATGAAAACAACAAGGTTGCAAATACATCCATGAGCTTTAAGCTTTCAATTAGAATTCAAGCCAAAGATACTTTCTCCTGCCATATCTGATTTAAATCATTACTCGATTAACTTAACGAATCTCCGGGAAGCATCAATCATTTTCCAGACACTGTTAGTCACGGAGATATAAAGTCAAAGGAGACCAAGGTGCAGCCCTGCGGGGCATAAGTGAGCTAGATGTAACATGCCATGGGCATGAGGAAGAGGGAACAATGAATCCTACATTGAAAGATTCAGAGCATCACAGAAGAGAAGATATTTTAGCTGGGATTTGAAATGTGAGGGCCAAAGATTTGCTGGAGGAGAGAGAGAAGGTCAGTGGTCATTGGCATTTCAGTGAGAGCTAACAGCAAAAACAAAGACTCAAGAAGAGTACTACTTTCGCTCACTAGAAACGCATGCTGCTCAAAACATGAGAAACGCAAATTAAAACTATACTGAGAACATTTCTCATCTATCAGATTGACAAAAAGTCTAAGAACATATGCTGTTGGCAAGGCTGTG